ACGGAATCCCCCTTGCCACGCTGGTGGATCCCAACCCCCTTAGAGCTCTTACTAGAGGGCTCCCGGGTGCCTTAAGCTCCACGTCGAGTCCTTCATGTGCAAAGAGCTATTGAACGTGACCAGCGAAACCCCCCCGGCCCTGGCGCCTGGGCAGCAGCATTCCAGGACCTGGGTGCTGATGGGCGAGAGATGGGCTGGGCTGGAGCGGGGCGAAGGTGGCAGCCGGAGGGGTCGGGCAGTCAGTTGGAAAGTGCCCCTCGAGCAGCCTCCTTGTAGAGTTTAAACAGTCCCGGGATTAAGTCGGGTCTTGAGTTTTATGATTCGGGAAGGAAATCCTCTTTGCAGAAGGCCCGGGTGATATTCCGCAGGCAGCCTACTGGTCAGGATCTGGAAGCTGGTGCAGTTGCTGGTGGGGAGAACTCTGGAACAAAAGAAAAATATCGGGGCTTGATGCTCTGGCAGGGAAGCAGTGGCGTTTCCCAGGCGGCAGAAGGTACCCGTGTCCCTCAGTATCCATTGCCAACTTCCATCAGACAGGGTATTTCTGAGGTGATTAATGATATTGAATAAGGATTATAAATCTACACATTTCCCCTTATAGTTGTGCGCTGTGGCCAGTCCCAGATCCCACAAAAGGTGGCAATTAGAAGCCGATTCTGGGCTGGGAGCAGCCTGTCAGCCCCGGGACGGGCTCTGGGGCCTTCCTGTGCAGGAGGCGAACAGAGATGGCTTTGCTGCCCCGGGGGAAGCCGCCGTTTCCATTCCCGTGTCTTGCTCCGATCCAGCGGCACTCGCCAACGGGGGCTGGATGTGCTTTGGCTCAAAAATGGGTGAAAACCACGCCTGGAGAAGAAGTGAAGAGCTCTGGACATCATCATCCCCCCCTCTTCCCCCTTCCTGTGGGAGTGGGGCAGTGAGAAGCTGCGAGGAAGCCCTACGTGCAATTCAATCATTCTTGCCACCGCCGGCAGATAGAGAAGGAAACACCTCAATTAATTTAATCAGGTAACAGGAGCCACTTTCCTGCTGGGGTGGCCCAGGAGTGGGCACACCAGAAATACAGGGGGTTTGTACCCCCCATCCTATCCTCAGGCTCATGGGCATTGTTGCCATGCTGGGGAAGCCTGAGGGAAAGTTGGAAAAACTCACCGTGTTAGTGCCTGATGGGTAATTAATAATTTTGAACTTGATGGCCAGGTTCTGAGCCGAGGCCTAGTTCTGTTTTTTTTGGTTCGGATCTGGGAGGAACAGATGACTTGGGCATCCTGCTTGGCCGTGGGGATCCCTCCAGGCTTGGATGACAACGTGTTGGCGAATGAATCTTGTGCGATTGGCGGCGTTCGGAAGAATGTGACTGAACTTGGTGGTGTTGTGTGAATGGCAATTTAGGTCAATAAATTAAGAAAGTGGCAAGAGACTTGAGGCAATTATTGCTATACTAAGAATTAATTGGTTTATGAGATATGTCTGAATCTTCCCTGTTCAAATGGTTAATCAGCTTCTTTCAATTTTATGGTGGGATGTTTTTTTTTACGATTTAAATGTATAAACATCTAGGAATGATAATACACAAGGAGTACGGAGACTCACCAGGACCGCACTCCCTTTTAACCTTGGAGGCCAGAGGTGACGACACCACCACTTCAAGGAATCCAACTGAATCATGGCTGTAGCCACGGGGTGGATTGTGTGGAAGGTGCCCCCCGAGTGAAAACAGGGCTTTGCTGAAGGGCAGCAGCTCCTGACTGCCTTTGCTCTCGGGGCTTCACGGTGTCGGGGCCTTTGGCCAACGGGAGCCGCTATTGACTCCGGGTCAGATTCATCCTGGGTATAAATGGGTCCCCGGGGGAGCCATTCTGAGCTCGTCCCCCGGAGCTGCGGCCGAGGCCTCTCCCCTGGGGTCAGGACGCTGCCCATGGAAACTCCTCGAGGTGCCTTGGGTCTGGACACTGCCCGGAGCAGGTCCTCGAGGGTGAGAGCCCTCACTTGTCAGTGAGTGAGAGAGCGTGTCGGGGTGTCCTTAAACCCGAGGAAGTCGTTCTCTTCTCCTCTCACAGACATTCGAACCTGTAATTTACAGAGAGCTAGTTAATTGTGTTAATGAGAAATTTTCAATTTTTGGTGGTTGGTTGTTTTTGAGAGTCTCCATAACCGGGAGCCGTGACACTGGTGGTAGTGGCCATGGCGTGGTGGCCTGATGGTGAGCATCTCAGGGAGCCATGACACTGGTGATGGTGGCCATGGCATGGTGGCCTGATGGGCAGCATCTCCAGGAGCCACGATGCCAGAGCACAGCTCCATTGGAGGCACCATGCAATGGAGGACGTTGCGTGGCTGGGATGCCATCTCATGGTCCCCTTCTGGGCCTGTGGAACTGAAGCCACTTCAGGAAGGTCATAAGCTCTTGATTTCCCTCCATCACCAGGTGCCAGCGTTTACTATCACAGGCTAATGAGAGTCTCTGGGTTACGGGCCAACTCCCACCTTACCAACAACCCAACCAGGGCATGGGTTGCTCTGGCCAAAGGTGGTCTCCTGTATCGACATGTCCTCTATCCACAAGCTCAGTCGGGCCAGGAGAACGTGGTGGTGATGCTCTGCTCACCATGAAGGTCACACACCCCATTTGCCATAGGAGCTGCTTCTACAGGATTATGTTGGCTTGGCCATGTTGGGGGCAGTGGGACAACCCACCCAAGGTTGGGTTGGAGACCATCAAGCTCCACCACCAACCCAGAAATGGATTTACGGCCCGTCCCCTGCACTCCTCCAACACATCACCGCGCCAAAAAAGCAACCACCAAACCCTCTTGGGCTCTTTTATTTATTTTTTTTTTGGAAACATTTTAATAGTTATCGAATGTTCTACATCTTACAGTAAATATCGTACAGTTACAAACTCTTGGCTGAAATCTGTCAGGGAGATCACGACCTGATCTTCAGAACCAAAACCAGAACAGAAAACAAACAGAAAAAAACCCCAAATTTACACTTCAGATGAACAAACCGAGGCTGTGGGGCTTCCAGGGCATCAGTTAAAGGCCATGTTCCCTACACACCTTTGAGACTTAGACTTGGAAGACATGGTTACACTTGGTTTTAAACTTTTTTTCTTGGTTTTTTTTTGTTTTTTTTAAGATTTATTTTTGCTTAAGAGGTCCAATAATATTTAAAAATAAGCTGGCCTGGCGGTTGAAATGAATTAAAAAATTAATTACAGATAAACAGGGGTAGGAGCTGGCGTAGGTTTGCTCTGTGCTATGGGAATGGGAGGGTTAGGGTGCCACCCCGCACCCCGCTGTCTCATTTTCCCTTCCTCACTGTGCTTCCCCATGGCTGCTGACCCTACAAATCGCTCCCCACCCGATGCCCTCCTCCTGAACCCCCTTTGCCCCGGGAAAAACGCAGCTCCCCCAGCTCCATCCTTTGCAGCAAGACACAGAGATGCTGCAGGTGGCTGCGTTGCATCAAGATTTTTTCCCTGCAAACAGCACAACTGAGTGTTTCCAACTGGGAATTACTGCCGTTCAACCATGTATTTTTCTATTCCTGCTTTGCAAACATCCCTGTAACAGGTTGTTTTACCTGATTACAGGTGAATCTGTTAAGTGCCATGGTACAACACACCACAAAAAACGCCTTTTCCAAGCTCTCCTCCCTTCCAAGCCCCTTAACAGGCTTTATTTTGCTTTTTTCCCTATGGGAGTGCTAGCACACAGCAGAGAAAATAGCCAGAGCCTGATCCTGCCCACAGCCTGGCACTCAGGGCAAAGCAAAGATGGGCAGAGGGTCGCCACATTTCAGGGGGTGATAGATGGAGGGCCTAAAAATATTGACAACTAAAAAAAAAAACAAAAAACAACCCAAATCAAAAAACCTGGATTTATGGGTATCCATCGGCTCTTATTGCTATTGTCGGCTGGTTGGGTTTTCTTATCAAAAATAAACCCCCAAATGTGGTTTGGGTTTTTTTTCTCCCTCTAAGAAAGCAAGACCCAACTTCACGCCCTCTGGCCGGGGACTGCATCATCCCAAATCCCCGTGAGGGGAGGAAGGCAATGGCAAAGACAGAGGTCTCTCCAGGAAGGACCATATTCAGCAGGATACTGGGGAAAAAAACAGGATACTCTGAAACATCCATCATGAAAGCAAACCCCTTAAATAACACTTTACGGTAGTTACAGCTTGAAACTGCAAAAAGCTGGACTGGGTTGTTATTATTCTTCGTAAAATAAAGGAGCAAATCCTCACCTGGAGGGTTCAGCCACTTGGAGGCGTGATGGGTACAGGCTCCAAAGGGCTTGCTCAGGTTGGGGGCTACTATCACTATTAATATGCCTTTTTTCCCAAAAAGCTTTTCCATTACAACTCATGTTTTAAAGCAGAGATAACGGCAGGGATGGGTTAATGGTCGTAACAGCGGTTTGAGAATTCTTTTCCTTGCTCTTTAGCTGGAATTTTAATCTCCAAGACACTCTGCCTGCTGCTAAGCATGGTTTAACCCCTCCTGCTCTTCCCCGCTAACGCCTGGTGTGATCCTTCACTGTGGGAAACCCTTAACCAACATCGGCAAAGCTTTGCTGGAGTGAAATATTCAAGAAGCTGGTGGCCTCCATCAGTGTCCCCCCCTGCTAAGGGAGTCCCTCACTGGGCTGTGACCTCCCCAGGGCCTTCACTTAAGCCATGACTTGGCCAAGGAAAGGCCTTGGGATCATGGGCTTCCCTCCCATCCTTCCATCTACCCAAAAAACCATGTTCTTCCATGGGGAAGGGGACAGGGCTGCAGGTCATTGCTGCCATGAGCTGGGCCACAACAAGCCCCACATGGTGGCCAGGAGCATCTTGCCACCAGCACAGCCCCATGAAGCCTCTGTGGGAAGGAGCTAACCAAGCCTGGAGCCATGTGGTGGCCCCAGAGCCATGCAGTGGCCCTGGAGCCATGCAGTGGTCCAAGTCTAAACCCAACACCAGCTGCCAAATGTGCTCACCAAAGCCTCGCGCCCAACAGATGGTGAATTATTTCACCTCTTCACACCCCAGTTGAATTAATGAGTTTTTCTGCCTGGGCATAATGGGATGAGGAACCTCACATCTGCTACTGATCCAAGTGAAGGAATTAAAACTAAACCACCCCATGTCAGATCTCATTAGGGGTAACACTGGGTGATCCTCCACCATTAGCGTTTTCTTTCAGGAGAAAGCCTAGCATCTCCTTCGTAGCCCTGGGACAAAATTTTAGCAGTTGTTGCTAAAGCAGTTAAGGGTGAAGGGTACCTAGGCCAGTGGTAGGATGGTGTCTGCTGGGAAAGGTCCTTCTCCACAGAGTCCAGCGTGTTTTAACGAAGCTCGTTGGACACTGCAAGCCGTAGTGCCGGTACGTTGGCTAGGGCTATCGCTATCCTGCGTGTTTCAACACTGATAGACAGCTCCTAATACATAACAAGAAGTCAACACTGAGAGCAAAAAAAGGGTTTCTGAGAGGTCTTCAATTCCTGTCATCTATTGGGCTCTTCTTTTTTGGCCCGGGTTTACTGTAGCGTGCTACAAACAGCAGAAGGATTATTTCCAAATGTCCTGTTGCTCTTTACATGCTTATAACCCTTGGCTTCGCTAAGCTGAATGGGGAAACCCTCTGATTACTTTTTTTTTTTTTTTCCCTTCTCTTTTCCTTTTATATGAATGCAAAGCACAGCCCGAAGTACTACACAGGCAATATCCACCTTCCCCACCCCACAGCACTGGTGTTCAGTCTTCACCCACTTTGTTCTCCTTGAGGTTGGGAAGGTCAACCAGAGCTTTGCTAGATTTCCTTTAAAACCAGCAGAACCCACCAAATGACCCCCATACAGAAGCGCTGGTGCCAACACCCAACCTGACAAACCAACCAGCGACAGGAAAAATCCTCTTGGGTCCCTAAATTCATTTCTCCTCATTTCGATGGTCCTTATGGGAAGAAGCTCCATCAGCTCCTCCCAACAGCAGCAAAAGCCAAGCTGGGAGACCCCACCAAGAGCAAGGAGGTCTCACCCAGGTGCCAACAACTGGTCACCTTGCTCTTCTGAAAGACCTCCCAGTCTGACCTCCACACTGCGTCCCAGTCAAGGTCTCCACTGCCCTCACCTCCATCTGGAGGTGTGACAAGGGCATAACCAAAGCAGAGCAACCAACAGAGAAATCTGGGCACTGACCTGACACCATGCGTGGGTCGGAAACCCAAGCCAGGCGGTGTCGGGAGGGATTCCCATCCACATCTCCTAACCTGACCTCTTTAAAGGCTCTGGAGTTGGTCTGTTGTGACAACCTCAGAGCCCAAGAGATGTGAGAGTTGCAAACAAGCTGCTGGGTGCTTGGAGCTCTTTTGGCACGCTTGAGGGAAAACCCAAAACCCAACGATATTATTGTCTTCGGAGGGGAAAAAAAAAAAAAAAGAAAAAAAAAAGAAAAACCTTGTTTCTATGCTGGGTTTAGTGATAAGGATTTAAAAACAAACTGGCCACAAGCATTGTCTGCAAATATGAACTCTCTCTTTGCTGCCCTCAAGACAACTTATTGCTCTACGTGGGACACCCCGAGATGGGGGTGTCACTGGCCGCAGTTGGCTTCATGTCCTTGCACCCTTGGGTAAGCCAAAACCCCCAGAAATTACCCCAATGCCCACAGCCTTTGTGTGCCCATTGTCTCCCAGGCCGGTCCACGTCACCTCCCCTGCTCTTGCTTTTTCTCAGGCGCCTTCCCATGAGGAAGGTGACATGTTTATTGCTATTGCTTCCTCTTCCTTCCACTTCTCTCCACTCACCAAGCAAAGCAGCCGGACATCACCCCCCTCTCCAACCTTTCTCTATGGTGCTGGGATTTGTGCTTGGATGAGCGTTTCTCCTGGAAGTCTCCAAGCCCAGCTGTAACCCGAAGAGTGGGGGCAGGGGGGGCACCTCAGTTGCCACAGAGCCATCACAGTTTGGTCTCAGCCCTGCTAACGACACAGGTGCAAGGTGAAGCAACGCATCTTCCCCCTTGCCCTGCCTCGAAGACTATTCTCCATCAACCAGTTGCCCTCATTCCCCACACCATCAGACTATGGAGGAGCCCTTCCAAGCAACCCCTGGACCTGGAGAAGCTTTTCAGACCAACTCCTGGACCTGGAGAAGCTCTTCAGACCAACCATTGGACTTGGAGACACTCTTCAGACCAACCCCCAGACCTGGAGAAGCTCTTCAGACCAACCCTTGGGCATCTCCTTGCTTCCTTCAACAGCCGCCCAGCACATGCCTGCCTGCAAACGGTAGCCATGCAAGGAAGGAGCTGCCTTCTCCCTCACGCAGCCCCAGGACGTAGCTGATGGGGAGCAGCTCGTTTTCCCAAGAGGTGCAAGATGCTACCAGGGCATTCACCCCTCTGCTGCTCTCCTCCCATCATGCAAGACCCGTTTGCCCAGTTGGAAAAAGCAGACCAAAGACCCGTTGGTGACCAGTCCTCCTACTTCCTAAGACAAGTGTGTTACATCGCTAATTATATTTATATTCTCTTACTCCTACAAAAGAAGGGATGAGTTCAGAATTTCACTGCAGATAATGCATTTATAATCTATCACGACAGCTATCTGGAAGACACCAATTTTCTTGTAATATGTTATGGAAGATTAAATAATTTATATTATTCAACTAAAAATACCCCAAACCAAATCGGATAAGCCTGCCTACCAGCGCTGTGCTTTTCACATAGTACCCTGAACATCAACCACTCTTACTAGCCAAAGAAAATCTAGGCTCTCGTCAACAACAACGACAACAGAAAAATAACAAAAAGAACCCAAACAAACAAGAAGTGGGGGATCTTTGCACCACTCAGCTGGGCAATGCTGGAAAAGTGAATATTCTGAGCTTTCAAATGATAGGACCAAAGAGAGAACTTTACTATTGCTCAGTGTCAGTATGTGTGTTACACAATTTATGTGGGTTGGGGAGGAGGAAGGGGGAGAGGAGGAAAAAAAAAAAAAAAAAAAAGAGGCGGAAGATTAGAAAAAGCAGCTTTTACAAAAACCACTAAAGAATGCATAAAGTGACCCTTGCACTTTTTTTTTTTCTTTTTTTTTCTTTTGTTCTTGCAAACAGACGAAGTGCTGCAGTACAGTGGCCACAGCACCGATGTAAGACTTGTGTAGTTGCATACAATGTTTGACTCCGGATCTGGAAAAGAGGAAACATATTAAAAACAAGGAGTTAGAAGCAAGCGGTGGAGGATCAGACAGGGCTGTTCTCCTCTCCTCTGCACCCCTGCGCCGCGTGCAGCACGTACAGCTGGTTCTTATGGGATTTAACCATCCCTCGCGCCGCTCCGCGGAAAATTTCTTGGGTATGGAGCTGAGACAGCAGCAGCTCGCTGATGGTATCCAACGCACAGGATTAAAAATATGCAGATGGGATGCTCTCTGCTAATTGCACAACAATTTGTCACGGGTAGGATTAACCCAGTGTAATGTATGCAGCAAGGAGAGATTTCAGATAACCCCCGGGGCTGGATGAGATCTGCGCTGCCTCCCCGTGCAGTGTCATGTGTTCCCATCAGCTGCGCTGCCCGTTAATTGGGCATGATGGACCAAGGGCTCCAGCAACACGCGGAGGGTGTTTAACTGAGCAGCTGGGATTGCTGGGATCCGGAGCACGGCACGAACCTGCAGCTGGTTGCGGGCAGCTGCACGCAACCCTGGTGCTAATGAACAGGGTGACCTCCCAGAGTGTTTTAGCAGGGAAAAAAAAAAACCAGTATATTCAAGTGATATGAAATCTGGGGAAGGATTCTTGATCAGGGAGGGTAGTGATAGGATGAGGGGGAATGGTTTTAAACTGTCAGTGGGCAGATCTAGATGAGATCTAAGGCAGAAATTGTTCCCTGTGAGGGGGGTGAGGCCCTGGCACAGGCTGCCCAGAGAAGCTGTGGCTGCCCCCTCCCTGGAAGGGTTCAAGGCCAGGTTGGACGGGGCTTTGGGCAACCTGGGCTAGTGGAAGGTGGCCCTGTCCGGGGCAGAAGGGTGGAACTGGATGATCTTTAAGGTCCCTTCCAACTCAAATGAGTCTGTGATTCTCCAGAAGAGTGTGATGCACCCAAAACCTAAAAGCATGAAACTCTCCACCCTCGCCAGTGCCCGACCGCACTCAGAGCAGCTTGACGTCGCTGAGGTCACTCAAGGCAAAGCCTCGCACGCACCGAGCAGCAAGAGGGAGGCCAAGGTACACCGTGCTTTGCTAACACCCTCCGTAGGGTGGGGATAGCTGGGGAGCAGTGCTAAATGGCTCTTCCCGAGCCAAAACATCGCCTAGACAAAGGGATTCAGCAGCGTTGTGGGAAGGAGAGATGCGACAGCAGTGCTCGGTGGCTGATTAATCAACAAGGGCAGAGCAAGACCTGCGAAGGCAGCACTCACATGAATTGGCCAGTGGGTTTACCAGTGTGGAGGTACGTAGCTGTAGGTGGGGGTTCCTTGAGCCCTGTACGTTGGCACGGAAACTGGATGTGCTCCGATGGCGGTGTGTTGTGGGGTGGTCAACAAGGTTCCTGCAACGGCACGAGAAACACTTAGCAAGGAGAAGAGGTCAATCAGGGGAGCAGTACCCCAAGGGTAAGGTGCTGCAGACCCCATCCGAGGGGCAGGCACAGCATCAGCTGCCTTTTCTTTCTTATTCAATTCCCCCAAATATGATTCTGCCCGTGAGACCTGAATCGAAGGCAACTGACTCGTGCAGTTGGTATCAGCCAGCACCATGAACAACCACACCTGAAGCTCCAGAATATTTTCCACTCTACTTTCAGCCCTTAACTCATCCTTTTCCAATTTTCCTTGTCTCCAAAGACCAGCAGCACAGCTAGCCACTAACCTGCTGACATCTTCCACCTGCCGAAGGCACCGGGTTAAACTGCAGCTGCAGATCACTGCAGCGAGCTGAAACATCTAAGGACCCAACTGGAAGGGATGAGGGTTGCAAAAGTAGGCAAGAAAAAACCCCAGACCTTCCAGGAAAAATTAAGATGAGTTTTGCCACTCATCTCCCAAGGGCAGTGGAGCCGTTTTGCTTCGTTTAAACCCACAGAGCCAAGTCTGGGGATGCAGCAGAATCAGAGGGACTGTCTGGTGCAGCCTCTTTGCTTTGAGTCTGCAGCTGCTAGGCAGAGGGATTTTAGGTGAGAATTTGCACGGTGCCTTCAGCACCTACAGGGAGGGAGAATTACAGTCCCAAACTACTCTGTTCTGGGAGTAACTGGGTGCTCAAAACAACTTCTCAGCTTCTGGGTATCTCTCTACAAATGCTACTAATGACGTTTTAAGACATGCCACGTGCATTAATTACATCTATCCACTTCTCAGTATAAGCAACAGTAAATCTCTGAGAGTGGTTCTTGTCATACTCAAGCTGCAATATCTCTGCTTGCACCAGGGATTGTGTCCCATAACAAAGCCTTTTTTTCACAGCTAATGCAGATGCAAAAGGATGAATGATCCATTTCTTGGCATAATTCAATACACAATCCTAAGAATTGTTAATGAGAGAAATAGAGGCTTTGGAGAAAAAAAATAAAACCAGCCCATCAGCCCATATCCTTACTTAATGTGCTATCAATTAATTGCAGTTTGAAGCAATCCCACACATAAAATGCAGAGGATTTGGGATACATAAACCAAGGTTAATGTTCATCAAACAAAAGCAAGACCTAAGTATCCTAAAAAAGGAGATTGATGATAGAAATACAACAGTATTTGAAGATGGACAATCCTGGTTACCCCTCTACTTACAGAACAGACAGAGGAAAGAATAATGTATTTAAGGATGTATTCCTCTAGAGTGAGCCAAACAAAAGGTACCCCCTGCTAACCTAAAAACTGAGTTAGATCAGTATCAGGAGCAAAGTAACTGATTTTTGCCTGCAAAGGAACAGCAACCAGCAAGCAAAACTAGCAGATGAAGCTGCAATTAGCTGTGTGCAAGGCCCTTCTGCAGCCACATGCCAGATAACACCCCACAACGCTGCCGGCAGCACCTCGGATACACTGAGAGTTTTTCATCCAGGACAAGTCTCCTGCGCAGGTTGTTGGGATACGTCCCATCCAAGTGACGAAACTATGGCTCAGCACATGGAAAGATTTTCCTTCTTACCTGCTGACATTGCCATGGTGGTCCCAGCGACCATGCCCATGGCCACACCGTTGGTCCTGGGCGCAGCGACCGGGGCCGGGTAGATGGCCGATGGGATGCTGTTGGGCTGAACCACGGTGGTGTGATGGATAACGTGAGGCTGTGCCGCGTACACTGGCTGGGTATAATAAGCTCCCTGTTTGAAAAGGGAAAGCAGACATCATCGTCTTTGTCATTCGATTGAAAGCACAAGCCGAAGCAGTAACTTGAAGTCCAGTATTTTATTTAGAGGCGATCACCATCTCTGTGTACAGCAGTGACACAGACTGTGCTGTCAGCAAAGGTTCCCAAATCCAGTCCATATCATAAGCCCTCCTGACACAGTCCTTCCCTTTAAGACTTCAATTCAAGCCCTCAGCTACTCCAGATGTGTGGCAAAAGCAATATTAAGACAAGCAGAAATGACACATAGCTGCTGGTACAAAGAGCTGCCCATGGAACATCACAGAATCTCAGAATGATCTGGGTTGGAAAAGCCCTTGCAGCTCCTCCAGCCCAACCATGACCCTCCCCCTGACCCTTCCCAACTCCCCCAGACCCCTCAGCGCTGGCTCAGCCCGACTCTTCAACCCCTCCAGGGATCCCGGGGACTCCCCCCTGCCCTGGGCAGCCCATTCCAACGCCCAACAGCCCCTTCTGCACAGAAATCCTTCCTCAGAGCCAGCCTGACCCTGCCCTGGGCAGCTTGAGGCCATTCCCTCGGGGCCTGGCGCTGGGGCCTTGGCTCCAGAGACTCATCCCCCCTCTCTGCCCCCTCCTGGCAGGGAGTTGCCGAGGGCCAGGAGGTCTCCCCTCAGCCTCCTCTTCTCCAGACTGAACCCCCCCAGTTCCCCCAGCCGCTCCCCAGCAGACCTGTGCTCCAGATCCAACAGAGGAGGCAGGAGAGAGACCCCAGCATCCCAGAGACACACCATGAGCACCCCCATCCCACAAGGACATGGGTGCTGAGCCCTGAGAGACAAGGACGAAGCCCTGCAGGAACCTCGGGCTGTATTTGTGCCCCGTGGAGCGAGGTGCTGAGCTGCCACGGCGGCTGCGAGGCACCTACCTGGGTGTACAGGTTCTGCTGTGGATAGGCACTTCTGATGGGGTACATAGCGGTTTGGTACGGATTCGGAGACGGCGAGTAGGGAGGAGGTGCGTTGTTACTCTGGGTCGGTGGGACCTTGTAAGGAGTCCCCGCAGTGTACCCTGGCAAAGACGAGAGTATTCCAAATTAGAGTGAGGATTTACAGCAGGAGCAACCCAAGCTGGGCATCACTCAGCGTGCAGGAGACGTACCAAGATGCACCAGCACCGACTGACACCTCATGAAACCCACCAAGCTGAGACCTCCGAGTCCAGCATCCAGCCCCTGGTTAATCGATCACAGCAGCCAGGGCTGAACCCTCCACCCAGCCCGGCAGTGGCTTGTCCCGTGCTGCCCACACCGAGCCATAGAGCTGATGGGTATTCCCAAAGGTCAAGGCATGACTTGATGGGACTCAACCAGCACTTAAATCACCTAAACCAGCAGTATCCCCACACCTCCTTACCCATCTCTATACATCTACTAGGCAAAAATAATGTTTTTCCTTCTCTCCTCCCCAGATTTTTTTGTCCTTTCACGTTTTTTGCTCGGGATGTGATGGGCAAACCCAGAATTTAATTGCTGGAGGATCTAATTTCCTGGCACGGTATTGCTGTCCCCTGCCTATGTTCCCAAGCAATGACTGGAAAAGCAGCAACACCGATGGTCCAAAACTTAACATTAAGGTGAAAATGATTGATGCCTTGAAGTATTTCATCAAGGTGGATCATGCTGAGCCGTTTCCTCTCCTGCAAAGGAGGGCTGTGACCATCAGCTCACCCTGCAGGTGGGAGAAGCAACCCCAAATGATGCTCCAGCACCTTTACACCCATCCCGCTCCCCCCAGGCTAGTTGCCTTAACGACCAAAGCAGCAAATTTGCCTTATTGCCATTAAAAGCCATTTGCTGTGCTCGGTAAACAGGCACAGCAGGCTGCTGCCAAGCCAGGAGGAGCAGCGGGGGCTTGGGAGGGCAGTGGTTAGGCAGGTGCCAGCAGCCAGGGAAACATCCCTCGCAATATTCATGATCCTGATACGACAGATTGCAATTTTTGTCTTTCTTCTGTCTGGATGTAAAGAAAAAAAAAAGGACTTCAGCATCCCCCAGTCTTCCCCACCATCAGGCTGTTTAGCTGGAGCATCCAAGTCCCAGATTTAAGCTTTATCGAAGGTCTAAAGAAACCTTAAATTATCTTGCAGCATTTAAGAGAGATGCTGAGTATATGGGGAACGAACTAAAATGAAGGATCCTTTCCAAAAACATGGAAATTTATCCCCCCAAATAAGCCTAACCTAACAAAAAATAACCTAAGCCTAACCTAACAAAAAAATAACCTAAAGGATAACGTGACACCAGCTGACCTGCTGCCTGTGGGTGTCACTTTGGGTTTTTGCTGCTATTTGCATTAAGTTCTGAGCTATCTGGTGCTTATAAAACTAGATTTTCCTTCCAGAAAAACCCAGAATTACCAGCTCAAGATCCTGTAATGCAAGTCTGATCATAGTGGTCTTTTTTTTAAAGGCTTTCCCTGGAGTGAGGACACACTGTAAGGATTTCTGCTCTTGGGAAGGTTCCTTGAAAGGAAGGTTCCCATCTGTTGACTTGTGATGAACACAGCGTTGACCCCCATACCCTCCACCAATTTTGCTCTCCAAAAAGAAAGAGGTGGCTTTGGCTTTAAGCAGGTCTGTGATAATGCTGTGTAATCCAGTTCTTGTTACCAGCGAAGACCTCATGGCAAGCACAGCATCTAAAGGAGGTGTGACCTCCCCCTACACCGAGGATACAGGGTACCTGAATTCTCAACTTTAGAGGCTTTTCCAAGGAAGGCTCCATGAAGCTGCCCCTGAAACATTATTACTGAAGTGCTAAACTGGGGAAAAATCCTCAAGAATAGAGTTGTACTTTAAGGTTTGGGTTTGGTGGGGTTTTTTTTAGGGTAGACTAGAAGCTGAGCTGCTGCCATGGGATGTCCTGGACTGAATCAAGGGTGCTGTGAAGGCATCAAGGTGTTGGTCACAGCTTGATGAATGGTTAAAAAAATGGAAATTATAAAAAAATCCGCTCGCATGAGAAAGGTAAAGCAGGTGGGCTGGGATGGCTGGTGAGAAATTACAGCCAGCCTTGCAGGATGACTGGGAGAAATCAGCCTTGGAGCAAACGACCCCTGAAGACTGTGTAGGATGGAGAGGAGAAGTCAAGGCTCAGCCTCGTGATAAGATGTCTAAACACTCAAATATAATGAACTAATTTACTCAACCAGTGTTCAAGGCAGCAATTAGTGAAGGCTAAGATTTCAAGTCTACTGAAATCCCGTATCATCTGCCCAGCACTGAAACAGTGTGAAGATAACAAGGAGGGAGGAACTCCCAAACAGCATCTCACTGCCTCCTGATTATTGAAGATTGGTAGAAAGAAAATGTGTTAATTAAACAGCAGAAGAGCTGTGATCCTTTTTCTGACTTACAGTAGCAGGTGAGCATTTTAAAATGAGCTAGAGGAGATGCAGATTTGAAATGACCGTATCCCAGCAGAAGTGGAGACTCCTGCATCATGAGGTCCTCCAGGAAGCCAACGACATCACCTACAGACCAACCAACCACTTGCTTTTCAATCTTAGGGATTTTTTTTTTATATATTCTGAACTCATTTTTCCAAACAAAGACCTTGGAGGCTGCCAGTTGTCGGCATCACGCTTCATTTCTGATGGGCGTCTGGAGATGTGGGCCAGCTCAAGGCTGTCTGGCTTCACCACCTTGAATGCTAAAACTTGCTAAGGTTTCCTGATTGCTGAATCACGGACAATTTCGCTGTGTTATTAAAAAAGGTATTAAGCAAATAGTCCAGGCAGATGTAATCTTCCATGTTTATAAATTGGGGGGGAAAAAAAAAATAGAACAATTTGCAGGTAAAAACGACGCGTAATCAAGTTTTAGTGACACAAGATGTAGGAGCCTCCTCTCGGAAAAGCATGTCTGACAGCTAATTTTAAAGCCTAATTATGACTACCTAACACCTTCTTAGGATTAGGAGGTTGGCATGGCCCGTGCTTCGGCTCCTTCGCGGTGTAGCAGCAGGCTGGGATTTTAAAAGCAGTAGCGAGCCTTTAAGCTCCAGCTCCTATTAAAATTGCTGATTAAATCCCCCGTGCCACTCTAGAAATCTCAACCTTATTGATCCTGCAACACAGAAGTGGCCTGAATTGCACAGATAAATTTTTCTATGA